ATATATATCTTACACTCAATTTATATTATTATAAAAAAAAAAAAAAAAAACTGTTAAACTGCAAAAATTCGAAAACCAACCAAAAACAAATCAATCAACGCTCAAAAACCTGGAATATCTGAATATGGAATCATACGGAATGCCCCGCGCTCTGGAATATGTATAAATAAATATACAAAAACAATTGAAATGAAACACACACTCACACACACGCATACGGCAAACGCAAACACGAACATGCACACTCTGTCTCACACACACACACACACACACACACTACAAACATGCATGCATGCCATTGCAATCCATGATGATAATTAGGGAGCTGGTCGTGGGCATGGAATCACAGTCCCGCGTGGACGAGCCGTTGGCCAGCGTGGCAGCATCAGTCGTCTGGGGGCCCAGCCAGTGCCACAGGCGGCGGCGGCGGTGGCGGCGGTGGGACAGGCGGCGGCGGCGGCTCATCGGGGGGCGGCCACCGTTCAGGGGGCGCCGGCAGCAACCGGGGGGGTCCGTGGGGTGGCACCAATGCGTCCCAGCGCTCCTGGCACCCAGCACGTCAAGCCGCTACAAAATTTACCAGGTGAGCTCAACAACCACAACAAACAAACAAACAAAACCAACCAAACAACAGCAACAACAAAAAGACAACCAAAAGACAAACCAAAAAAAATCCAAAATCCAAAAACATGCTCAAGACGTTCAACGTTCAAATGCAACAACTGCAGCAGCAGCAGCAGTCGCAGCAGCAACAACAACAACCACCAACACGAACACCATCAAACAGCAACAGCAACAATCTCAAATGCATAACAATACAAATTCATATAAATTAATAAGTAAAGCCAAGTAAAATGTTACCACCCGACCCATATAAATACACACACACACATATATATAAATATATATAAGCACACCTACACACAAACACACACACCACACACACTTTCACACCCACTCACGCACACACAATGATTTTGAGTGGTTTTAACCACCCACGAAGCTTAAAATGGGAGCGTTTCCAGGTTCACTAAATGTCGTGATTTTTTACCCATAATTTATATCGTTTTTTTTTTTTCATTTTGCATTTTGTAAATGTGTTTCAATGTTGTAAAACAAAAGCCAGTTGTTAAATATTCTCTTTTTATATATATCTTTTAAATGTCCTATTTATATACATCATATATATTTATATTATAAATATATTTTCTTAATGTAGCTTTTTAAACTCTTGCTGCTTTTGGATTTTCGTCACGAAATTTTCATCAGTTTTGTATCATTTAAACAGCGCTAAAATGTATGCTACAGTTTTTGCATGCACTTRGCTTTGACTTGGTCAAAAGCAGCAAGTGGCAACAACACACACCCACACACACCGACACACATAGACACACACACACACATACACACCTACACAATACACTCACACGCTCTCACGCACATGTATATGGAAAGCCAGTATAACAAATTATATGAATGCATATGTATGTTGAGGTACATATGCTGTGTAAACGTTTATGAATCGATTAGTATTTAAATATTGTCATGCCCGCCCGCCCATCTCCCCCTGTTTTACTACTACTACTACTACTGCTACTGCTGGTATCAACTGTGTTGTTAGGAGTCAGTGGAGAGTTGAAGATACACCCTTGTCTCCCCCCAATGATTGCTCCCCAACATCAAATCCTTTCAATCAAATTGACGTACGTGTATATAATTTTTTTTTTAATATTTTGGTTACACAAAAATAATAATGAAATATTTGATGCGTTGGCACAATATTTTTCTAAATTTTGAGTATAAATCTATGTATGTTTAATAAAGTTTAAGTTCATGCTTTGCTAATCAATAAACAGTTCAAATTCAATATTAGTATCCATATCCTCTATATAATTATATATATATGTGTATTTATACCGATCTATAAATWAATAACACAACACATCTATTTACTCACATATAAATGTTTTTATTTGGTTAAATACTTGTATATATAA